ATTCAAAAAGAAAACTGTAGCATACATTCTTTTTCAGATGAAGCACGTTATCAATGCCCTCTGGCAATCAAAACCGGTTTTCAAACTCACCATGGAAGTGTTGCACCATCAAACTGACTCACCATTTCTTGCTGTTGCATCATTTCGACTTTCAAATGTGTCATAAAATCTGCTTCAGTTTCCGATGAAACGTCATTGAAAAGTTCTGGAGAAGTCCTTGCAAAACATGGCAGTCCTCCTGTATCAACCATGTTGAAAGTAGCAGGCACTCATATATGTGTGGTAGTGTGTAGTTTGGCTTTAGTTGAAGCTTTCGCTTGCTCTGTTCCTGCTTTTGAAGTAGCAGGTCTTTTCAACTTACCGTCAATACCAGCTGTGGAAACTGTACAGCTTGAAATGTCACAACATAGCTATTGAATCAGTCAATCTGCTCGTTCCGCATGGACTACATCATATTCTCCTTCTTCCCACCCGATCATGTATCATTACATGTTTACGCACTCAGTACATCATGTCGTCTTCCTTGGCTTTCTTATGTTGTCCATAGGACATGATGAAATCATACGTCATGATACATGATGTTCTGTTCCTTGCCACCTTCCTAACATGCCTATGAACTTCGCATCAAACTTGTCTGACGTACTTCCTTGACATGAACATTTGCCTTCATGCATCGCATGAGGTTATGTCCCTGAATGTCAACTGTCGATTTCCTTTTGCTTGCAATCATTAAAGGCTTCTCTGAATACTGCATGACCAGCTGTGAGGTTCCGGCCATCATTAGTAAGCCAGGTTTTAGTTATGTATAATTCTATACTTCTGCATGCAATAAGCCATTGTTTATGCGCGTAGATATAGATTAGAATTTCTATTATAAATTGTATGCGGGGTTTATTTGTATATGTTAAAACACGGAATATTTGGGCTGGTATTGCTTCACGTCCCCCAAAATCATCTACTTTAACAACCGAAAACCATTTCATTATTGGAACCGACAGTTGCTTTTCTGCCCAAGTGAACTAGCTATTGTTCTACGACTCCAGAAATACAGACGGGGCGGACCATGAATTCATAAATATTAACTATACCACTGTAAGTTATCAAATGAAATCATTAATGATAATTATGGATATATCTGGTTCTATATTAAAGTAAAGGAAATACGAACGCTGTGCTCCTTGCTATTATATTTGTGGCAACGTCACAAATAAGCATACCTATATTTACCAGTACAAAAATTCTAAACATTGCTGGTAGAAATAAATTTAGATATATATCTATAAATTTATTGATACCAGCAATGTTCAGAATTTTTTTATTGGTAAATAGAGGTATGCTTATTTGTGATGTTGCCACAAATATAATAGCAAGGAGCACAGCGTTCGTATTTCCTTTACTTCAATATAGAACCAGATATATCCATAAGTAATATCAGTAATATTTATATCTTTATTAAAAACCCAATTCATAATATATCATATATCATAATCACATATATCATATATCACATATATCATATATCATATATCATATATCATAATATATCATAAATGACTATAGTTTATTTTCAAAATTTTTAAATAGTTGTTTATTAATGTTAATTAGGTACTGCGTTGCCATTGAAAACACCACGTAAGGACAAAAAACGGTGCCTTGTCTTCACTCCCAAAAAGGCTAAATTGTACAACAGCACAACAAAGGGAACAACAACTTCAAACAAGGTAAATTAACTAACAAGTTCAATGGCATCCTAAATATGGTTTTGTTGCAATAAATTATATGGTTTTACTGCAAAAATCATGTAACACCACTAAAAACCTTATTTCAGTTGAAAAATTACAAGGCAATGGCTAGCAAGATGTTGGGCAAGTCCAACTATGCTAAAATGTTGACACTGCTATGGAACTCCAGCCAGGCCTTCCTCACAACCCTGCAGGAATTCGTCGGGAGGCAGGTGTACACGGAAGCCAGGAATTTTCGTAGGAAGCTGTTCTATTGTTACTGAATGTATGCGCGTGTCATGCGCAGTTGGTGTTTGTATAATAAACGCCACTATTTGTACGTGGCTCCAGCTAGCCAGACTTCTTGTCTTGTTTGTCCACGTAGAACAGAACATGGTGTCAGAAGTGGGATCCGAACCCACGCCCTCATACGAGGACCAGAAGGCTCTTTGATGTCAACCATTTTCATCAAACTTTCCCTCCTGGAGTCTTTCCAATCTCCAGCACTAGCAGAAAGAGTCCAGAACTTGGTAGTTCTCTCTATCAAACTTGCTGAGTCCTCTGGAAAGTTATTAATCTTAATAGCAAAGCCAACTGACCATATGTAATGTGTCATCTTGACCCTGTGCCATCTCGAAGGGATTATTGCAGCAGGTCCTGGAAACTGCAGAATAAGAGGCAAGTCCTTGAGTGTCTTGAAATGCTGATACTTGTACTTTGTGCTTGCTATTATCTTGGCCAACATAGACATCAATATATCAGGGAAGCTCGCGGTTACCCTAGAAAAGGTCAGCGTGGTCTCGCTATCTCCCTGTTCCACTCTGGCCTTTATTGAGTATTCGGCCACGAGCCTCTTCAGAGACTGGGAGTTAGGCATCTTGGCTTCCTTTTTCATTGCTTGTGTTCCACAGAGCAACACTGACGTACACATTGACGACACGTCATGGATGACGCTCTCAAACACTTTCTGAGTGTCCACTTCCCTACCGTCATCCTCAATAGGTTTGGCCTTAAGGTAGAAGAGTTGCTTTTTAATGACTCCGGCATTGAAGCCTTTATAACTCACGTCCTCCACAAATTGCAGGAACGTTTCTTTTGTCCAGGACTCTTCGGCAACTCTGAGGGTCTCTCTCTTGCTGAGATCCTCACAGATAGCCTTCGCACAACTACGCGCTGTGTCTTTCGGTGGTGCCTTCGACATCCTGGACCTACGAGTCCGGCTGAAGAAGAAGGAATGGAAGGCTTTCTCCACTACAGAGGTGTATCTAATTTGGAAAACTCCTACAGGGAGTTAGGAAAGAAGATGTTGTTAACTAAGTGCTAAAACTAAACCTTATCAAAGATCTCTCTGCTCAACCCAAACTGTGGTCAGCAAGGACCACAGAGGGCTTTGCTGGACTAGAAAGTCTCTCACCACGCAGTCAGCAAAGAATACGACAAGATTCTACAGCCGAAATTCAGTAGTCACCCTCTGAAATGAGGCCAGAAACACCCAACAGAATTGGGTAAGGAGGCGGTAGTGCAGATGCTACTCTCACACGGCTGCCAACACCAACGTTAGGAATGCAAAAATGTAGCAGAGAAACCTCTAGGCTCACTTTTTGCTTATTCAACTATGTGGTTAAGGCTTTCAGTTTTTCGCATAAATGCGTTTTGTCAGGGGGTACTTTGTGTGTTTCTATGGTTTGTATAATAAACGCCACTAGTTGTACGTGGCTCCAGCTAGCCAGACGTCTTGTCTTGTTTGTCCACGTAGAACAGAACAGAAGCCATATAAACTGAGGCAAACTGAGCTTGTCCAGCATCATGGATTTTGACTGGACAACCACCTTACAGGAAATAGAAGCTGGCATGCCATTTATACACAGAGTTTTGTGCGGCATGCTTGAAACCAGAAAGCTGAGCAAGGGAAAGATAACTTGTGTTCCCCCGACTAAACAGAGGATTGGGGCGTCAATTGGGTGCCGAGCAAAAGGTGGGCTAATCTTTCAGTGTTAAGAATATGAATGGGAAACTTCTTTATAGAGTACTACAGTGCTTATGGTTGTTTATGCTAAAAATTGTTTACTAAACAATTTTTATAGGTTTTCTCGTGTTTGAATGCACTAGGAATATCACAAACGGTATATGATGCACCCATATTTGATAAACTATTTTGGTTGCAATGTTATCTTTTGTACTACAAATGGTGTGGTTCCTTTGTCTTGGTTGGTTCGTAAACAGCTGATCTGGCTTGTAGAATTCCACGAACTTAACCACATCAGCCTGAAATGTTTATTAAAAAACAATATTATTGATCACCCTCATTAATCAATAACATTACAACGTGAGTAAATAGGAATGAGTTTTTATACACATTTGAAGTGATAATTACATGTTGCAATGATATTTAGCCACCAATTTTTTCTATGATGGCGAAATTTCAGCTGGCTTCTGACTTCTGCGACCGTTTCTGAAAACCGGCTGTCAAGTGCTCTACCGAGAGGCCCAACTATGCGCCCACATCTCTGTATTTGAGCATCTGTATACCTCCCTCCAGAGTGCTTCAAGGTTTCTGCAATAAAGTAAGTGCAATTGATACAAAACTAACTGAAAAAAGCAACATGAAGTTGTTGTTACATTGCTGCTTTTGGTAACACACCACAAGATTCTTTAGCGTATCACTTGCACATACCTTTGAAGTCAGCATTCAAGAATTCACACACTCTATCGAGAGGGAGATTGTTTCCAGCTCCGCCTTTTAGGTTAGCCGTTTTGTTCCACATTATTTCGTACGCTAACCGTTTTGGCAGCCAGCCAGCTACACCTGCACAACAAGTTATTTATTAGTTTGACATAATATACATGCGCGTTTAATTTCTAATCAGTACCAACAAACATCTTAAGTTTTTTATCTGTACCTGCGAGGAGACAGTGTCATATAATCAAATATTTGTTGTGGTTATCATTATGCTTCCAGAAGTCTGGCATTACTACTCTCCACATCCTCAGCATGGCGGGTCCGTCTCCTTCTCTTAAGTACTGCAGCTCTGCCCGCTCGGTCAAACAGTTCTCACCACAGTACGGTTTTACTGTAGTCAAAGATGTGGTCTTTTGCATCGTCATTTCCACACCCATTGCAAAGCGACCAGCTGATATTTGATGACTTGCAGTCCTCAGAGCAAAACCAGGCTCCCTCTGGTATGCCACTTTCACTTACATTCATGCACTCTAGGTGAAACCAACTGCCAGCACACTGCAAGTTGTCACATTCTATCATCTCAGTGCCCTTGTCTGCAAAAGTAAAACATTAAAAGTAAAATATTAAAATTTGCAGTGTTTAAGGGATCATTGTGCCCATAACCTCCGCTTTTGCTTTTAGTTATCCCGTTGGTTCGTTATCCTATCTCCTAACTCTCATCTCCTATCTACTATCTCCTATCTCCCATATCTTACCTTGTTCTCACTGTGTAACGTTGCGCCAGTCGTTAAAAATGCTGTTTTGGAAAAGTTGTGTGTAGAAGAAGAACTTAAAAAACATACCTTCTTGGCATATGCAGAATGGGTACATGAAGCTGTCATCATCATCATCAAATGGACTTGGTTGAGGTGAGCCCACTTCAGCATCAAGCACATCAGCGATGTCTGTCATTGGCAACTATATAACAATGATTTTTACTGATGAGGAATTGGCGTGCAGCTGTTAATTACTAAAATATCCGATTTTAAAAGTACACTTAGAGAAGAAAGACATTTTGGTTTCTATACATAATGACGTACCTGCAGCCAAACCTGTGCGACAATGGCTTTCGCCAGCTGTGTTACATGCATCGTGAGTGGCTCATCTAACGAGTTCAGGGAGCACAGTTGCAACGCCAGGTAGCAAATCATTGCATCAGTCACGAAGTGCATGAAATCATCAACGTGATTGAAGTTTCCCATGACGTGTTTCTTTAGATTTCTGTAAATTACAAGTTAGGTTGGACTCATTATTTATGAAACACCATTGCATGTATTGACATAAGATTCCATTTCAAAATGTTATTGTTGTGCTACTATTGTGCTTGCACCTGTGGTTGAAGACATTCTTCATGTTAAATAGTGTGCCTCTTTCGACAGCACTACGTGCATCGAACAGAGAGTTGAGGGTGTCCTGGAGCATTATTCCACGCTTGTGGAATTCTTGTGGAACTGGCTCCACACCTTCCAGTCTCTCCAGCTTCGTGTGCCCAGCAGCTCGTGCCCTCTTGGCATCAATGATGCGCTCCATTGTCAATGCGTCCCGATGGCAAGGAACAGTGTAGAGCTGGCCATTCTCCATTTGTGGGACATACTTCTGTAGGACATCCGTGATTCGGATAACACCGGCTGTTGTTGACGGGTGTTCCGGTATCACGCCCATGTTCACCTAGGTATTACGGAGGAATGTAATGGTATTTATTTCTATGTAGAAGATATATTAGCTTAGCTGAAACTTTGGCAATCTTTCAACCAGAGAGACCAGGTAAAAGATGGCTTTGCGCAAAAGATGCGTTCTTCCCCGACTGCTCAAGAGCGGATAAGCCGAGCACTGCCGTGGGAGCTCGGCGCACGCGACCGCGGGGTATTCTACGTAGCATCTGGCGCTGCACGCTATACGGATTCCTGATCGACATAACGCTTTGCTCGACAACAGACGACGTCATCGCCTTAGTGGCTCTTGCTCGGTGATTGATAGTATTTTTTGACATTTTTGATTCAAGACTGCGTCTTAACCTTGAGGCGCGCTACCCCCACAATGGTTTATGGGCCGTTTGGTGATGGCCTCTAGGCGTCGATCGCGAAGTCTCGCTTTGAAACGGCCGCGTAATCGCGGAGATGCGTTCAGGCCTCTTACAATCGATCGCGTTAGGGGCGCGGCGTTGCCGCGCAGTGGCACTGCGTGCATTAATCCGGCCGCCATCCGTCTAGATTTGTTGACAAGTTACATGCTTTATAATAGCTTACAAGTCTGCTTTTTTTCCGCATTTCTGCAGAGTAGCGATGTGGGACGTGAAGGTGGCAACTGCTGTCGTCATCAGAAGCTGTCTGGAAGTACAGCAGAAGGACCTGACACACAAGTGTCTCCATAGTGTCTCGAAGGTTGTTGTAGTCTTCGGCACTTGGAAGGAAACAGTGCGTCGGGATTTTGCCTGCTGCCACGGTACCTTCTTCATCATAATGACTGTAGCATGAAAAACACTGATAGCGTTATAATACGTAGCACAGCTCTGCAATGTCACAGAATAATGCAACAATATTTATGGAAACTAAGCGTTTTAACATGTAAAGTTGTTATTTGTTCACCTTGCTTACCGAAATGAAACTGTTCAGAGCAGCATATGAGTTTGCCATCAGGTATATGCTGTTGGAAGTGTCGCTCCCCTGGTGCCGAACAGTAGACTGGATTTGTACATTGACCCAGCAAAATGAATAACCAGGATCTGCAGAAAATTAGACTGTTAGATGATGAGGCGGATGGCCGATTCCTTTTTGGTGAAATTTTGCAGGACATATTGTTCATGGAGAGGACTGATGGACATGATACATAGAGATGATCAGGATTTCGGATGAATGCGATTTATTCTGCCTGGCCGCTTTTCCCAAACGATATAGCAGGTCTTCATATACTGTGGTGACTTGATTAATTGACCAGCAACACAATTGGGATTGTAACTAACAACTAAATGAACAGTTGTTGGCATTTAAAGTTATTTAGTTATTAAAAAATAAATAGTCTGGTACCTGCAATAAATAGTAGTCTTTTCAGCATTCAGCCCTGTGGACCTCAGGTCGTCCACTAGCCACTGCACCTCCTGCAGATAATCTTTCACACCGGACTTCCACTCCAGGTAGATGTTCTTCCTTTCAGATAGCAAAGTTTAAAAAAACCATTTTGTTAGAGAAAGATACTTGTTATACAAAATTTTGTTTTTGGACATTATAAACAGGTGGTTATTTTCTAACAGTTTTTGAATGAGCTATGAAATAAATTATATAGATATATAAACATTGTCAGTTATTAACTAACCGGTCGGGAACTGCTGCGATCGTTGTAACCTGATCTGGTAGAACATTGAAGATTTCAAGAATTGAAGCATGTCATCTGCATGTCGCTGTCAAAAACAATCAGCGGGCAGACTTCGGCAAGATCGAGTATATCTTTCCTACCTCCTTGTATTCAGGCCGGAAATCAAGTCCCTTGAAGTAAATAACAATAAACTGTGACGACAAACAAAATGAATGAAGCCAGTGATGAATTCATAATTTAACCATTAATTGGAACCGAACACGCGAGGTGTGGAATCAGATTGATTAAAAGATTCGTTATATTTGTTTAAATTGGGAATGAGGAATTTACCATTCTGAAATACAATGTGCTTCATCACACGTAAAAAGGCACAATCTCTCTCCCAGTCCAATAATCATCTCTCTCCATAAATCCAAAGTGAGAGCCTCTGGACTACAGAAGATCACAGACAAATTTCCTGCTAAAATACCTGCAAAACCAACGAATTACGGATATGTAGAAAAAAAACCATTGCTGCAAGGGAAATTTGAAATGTTATAGAAATATACTAAATTGTATTGTATTATATATGTATCATATAAGTTAATAAGTAGTTATATGGATTATATATCCCTGTATTTTGCCAGTTGAGGTAAACCTTAGCCGATCAGCTGACCCCACATGTTTCTTGTTAGCCATTAGTTCATTTCGTTTGTCATGCCTGACAAATTTAGCAATAACCTTCGGTGGTGCTCCAGACCTTAATGGTGGCAATCTGTGAACTGTGCTGATGTCCTGGTCAGATAATTCAATTTTCATGCTTGATGCAATTGTTTTTAATACACCATTCAAATTCTTGTTTACTATGTGGGTGATATTGCAAATATCTAGCGTATAGCGTCGTCCATACTGCTCGAGATCATCAACTTCCCTGTTGGTATCATTTTTGCCTCTTTCTAGGCTGCAGATGGTAGCTTTCAGTATTTTATTTTCGTCTTTAACATCGTTTATTTTCCTGAGAGCTATAGTTGCAGGTCAGGTTTTATTTCTTCAAATGTATCTGATATGAATTGCTGGCTTGATGTTAGTCCCTTCATATTTTTGTCTAAATCCTCTAATCTAGTTGTTACCTTTTGCGACTCAGTGGTCATAGCCTTTCGGAGGTTGTCCTCCATGTCATCCATTCTTTTAAGGATAGTCCTTAAAAGAATGGTCCTCCATAGCTTGACATGATGATTGTTGATTGATGATTAGTCTGAGATACGATGTTGCAGGCAAGATGCAGTCAGTTGTTATGGCAAACTTTGCTGTACTGTAACAGTCGATGTAACGTGCAGTGAGATCCTCTTGCAGTTAGTTGCAGACAAAACCTCAGATCAGTTGAAATTCAATGAAATAGATGATATTTTAGCGTAGGTAAGATGAATATTGATACATATTACTATTATTAGTTGAGACAAAAAATTTCGTGTTCCCGCTAGTGCTGACAGCGCCCTTATCCTGTGTATGCGCTCGTTCTGCCTACTAATAGTACTAGTAGTACTACTAGAGTAGTAGTACTAGTACTACATTCTACAGTACTGGGACCACCATCTGTGACCATCGTTGTAAGCAACAGTTTAGCCATCCGTAACATTTACCTACTCGCTGTTCACTGTACATGGGTTGAAATCCTAAGGGGCCCGCGGGCCTGATGCCCGTATTTTAAGGCTCGGGCGTGACATTTCTAATACTAGCAAGCCCGACGGGCCCATAGAAAATGTACCCCAGCATGATAATTAAGTATCCGAGTAATTGTAATTGAGTAATTGAGTAATCAATGTAATCATCTCCATGTACACTAAAGAATGGTTTTAATTCAATGTAATTTGTGTTAGCTCGAATTCCTTCCACAAATATTCTGTTTGGAATGAGAGTGGCATATTTTGGTGGATGAGTCGCATTAGGTAGAGAATCTGTTGGCGATGGCACAGGAGACACTCCTTTATGTGAGCTTGTTGTAGACATTGTTTGTGGGTCCTCCTATGCAACAAATACAACAACTACTAGTACTACGACATAACTATCCACCTAACAGCAGCACGATCAACGATCAACTGCAGTTAGAACTTATATATTCTTTCACAAAGGACACAGGACGGTACGTGTAATGTTTCTGCATCATTCTTGCTTTTATAATTGAAATTTCTAAGTTTCTTAGTTGAAGTTCTTAAGAGTTTTTAATTTATTTATTTATTAATGTACATAGGATAACAAGAATGTGAATAAAGATGTAGTTTTCTAAATGTATGTATCATGTTGCCTAAATACAGAGGATTCCACTTGTTTGATATATAATATTCATATATATATATACATTATATATCGATTTACCCAGGATTTGGTTGAGAACCTCTGCGAGCCCCTGGTCGGCCAGTCCCACAGCTGTACACTTCTGCCGTACGCTGCGCCTCATCGTGCTGTAGGAGTTACTGCACACCTCAGGCAACACTGCATACGATACAGATGATAGCAAGCAATTGTTGGACTTCATCCAGACGTGTATTAACCAGTCTGATGATGACTCCTTCAACCTCCAACTTGAACAACGACATGCCACGAGTATACCTGATGACATGCCAGAAAACCTGATGCTGTTAGCAGAAGCTGCTTCCTGTCCAGCAATGGATACAGGAGAAACATCTGCACTGTATTACATTGCTTGGTGGTTAGTCCACAGAGGTGAACTCGCGGTCATGCAATTCGTGCTCTGCTGCAGTTCAAGAAAAAAATCCAGATGTAGCATCGAAGCGTGCATCGCTAACAATGCAGCGGCTTTATGGAGAACTGAAACATCCAACAAAGGCTGTCATCAGCCTCGTGACCAAATGCGAGGCACAACTTCGCGTACACCTTAAAAATCTCGCACAATCACCCAACGTAGCAGATGAGGTAGTTTGTGCTATGGAAATGCACTGCATTACTTTGCTGCCTCTGTGCTGCAGCATTGGGTATAAATTAATTAAACGATACATCAACCTGCGATTACATCTCCACGGGAGGCAGGAAACAAAAAAATTACAAATAAAAGGATTTGCCAGCAAGTCTGCTGCACGGAGTGCCTTTAAATAGCAAAGCTATGCAGTGTATTTCAATAGCATGAGCTACCTCATCATTGCTATTTATGATTACTATTGTGCAGTGCACCGAGCATGCCGAGTTGCATTTTTAGAGCAGGTTGTCTTTAAGACCTGAGTTTTGTTGTCGCTGTTTACCAGCTCGAGTTTCGTTTACAGTAGCAGTGTTCTCATTAGGAACCGGCCACCGGCCGGATTGACCGTCTACTCTGCTGTTACGGCCGGTTACAATTGGGGATTATTAAGGATTAAAACAAAAATGTATCTGCTAAAAAGATCGACCATGGCACGTTATAATACTAGTCCGTCTGGCACAGATACAGGATCGCAAACACGCGCGGCACTGACTGAAACGGCATGTAACCGGCAATTTCATTGGTCCAACACGCAATTTCTCTCATCCTATAAGCGCTTGTCATTAAACGCATGCAAGAAAGTACTTAGACTGGTCCCCGCCGTCGGCTCCACGAGTCCCAGCGAGGCCTAAGCCGAGAGGTGGGAGCGACTATGGACGGAAAGAAACTGAAACAAACTCCGAGAATTGTACACTGCAGCTCAAACTCGACGACCGATGATTTAGTATTTACATTGACTTATCATTTAACATTTATGTTACTTACGCTATATTAATGCTTATGTGGTAAATGAAACATACCTGTAAGACTCAATGTCGATTTACTACAGTTATTAAGGCATTATATATAGTGTAGTTTGTTAAAAAAATAACCTGATGTATGTTACCTGTCACAAAGCAGCTCGGCAGCAACGTTGGGCCATTATTTGCTGAATAACCACCTTCGTGTTTTGCATCGGACAAATAGGTCCCAAAAGCCACCTGTGGCTGCACAGAAAGTTCTTCAATTGATCTGTGCACGCACTCCAGACTGGAGTGTTGCCCTTCTGTATCCTGAGGCACAGCTGTTTCCACGCATCTTCTGGAGTATGCATGGAGCGGCCATGACTGGAGCTTTGCCATCAATCATGTTTACGCACATGGGCCATTTCCCTAAGTCTTCATGTTGCGTCACTCCTACAGCATATGTATGTGCGTCTGATGGATGGCAGCCTGTTAACATCGCGTGATTTGGCTTATCTGCAGTTCCACTTCGATGTTGTGCTCAATGCGAATTTGAACACTAATTCCGCTGAAATAGCGTGTCGCAAAGGTTTGGAGCATCTTGCTGGCAAGCACAGCAGTCAACCATTGCAAGACAACCAAAGTATCTTGCAGTTAGATCAGTTAGATGCTCGACGGGAAGTGAAGCGTTTGTCAGCACTGCTACGATCTGAGGGTGCGTGGCACTACTTCGTAACGTTGACATGCAACGACAGTGCGACGATGGGAGTTTGGCCGATTCGGCAAGCTATTCTGCGCCATTGTGATGCTGTTCAGCGAGATGCAACTCTGAAAAACTATGCGGTAATCATGTGTCGTGCATGGGAGCGAGCAAGTCGTTATCTGTGGAATTACATCGAGTGCAGCCCTGAACGTCCTCTTGGACATGTCAAGTGTGCGTGGATGCGGTATGAATTCCAGAGTAGTGGGGCGCTTGGAAATCGACCACACGTCCATGGTGGTATCACAGTGTTTCCGGAACATGAGCATGTGTCACTTCAGCGCATACGCTGTTCCTTGAAGGACATGTTCTCTGCTTCTGCGATGACTGACATGGACACATTGCTTGGCGAAGGACTTGTATCGAACGCAGAAGAATACTACAGGTTGTACTCATTGGCTGGCCAATTACAAACACACAGCTGTGCCAAAGCTGGGTCTGGATGCCAGAAACGACGAAGTGAGAGGTAATAACCACGAGAAAACAAGGATTGAAATCCTT